GGCTAATTTTTTTGATTTATTATAGAGATGAGGTCTCGCCAAGTTGCCCAGGCGGGTCTCACACCCGTGGGCTTAGGCAATCCACTCATCTCAGCCTCCCAAAGCGTGGGATTATGGGCTGAGCCACCGAGCCCAGAGGGTTTTATTCTTGATCTCACCTACACAGAGATGCACCCATGATCACACAGCAAATGCAGGGACATCTCCCCTGAATGCAGTGGCCCACAGTTCTAGGGCCAGAGTGGGACCCCGAGATTCAGCAATGTTGTAGAAACACACCACAGTGACTCTTCCCCCCATAGGTCCCACCAACCCTAACTCCTGGTGAAACTCACCTGCATTTGCACATTGATGCATTAAGACAAGCCCCTCCCCAAGACTCCTTCCTGTCTCCCTGTGGTGTACACACACCCACTCACACACACAGGTCTTGGATACTCAGCATTGCCATAAACACACAAGTCTGGGGACACAAAACCTTGTTACCACGCTTGGTAGGGATTTGGGACATATGTCTAGTACTCACAGACACACCCACAAGGTGTGTCTCCTCAGCCTGGAAGAAACAGCACTGCTCCTGCATTCCCCAACCTGGACATCCACACACAGACTGGTAAGGGAACAGTGGGGGCTCAGGGGTCCAGCCCTGGGAGGGTTGCCCTGGAGTCCCAGGAGCCCCTTGTGGGCTAGGAGTGCGAGTGGCTCTGTGTAGTCCCGCCCCGAGGCCTGGCCAGCCAGGACGCTGTGTTCTCAGCCTGGCAGATGTCACCCTGCCTGGGGTAATTAGGAACCGGCGTGGGCTGGCTACTCTTGGACCTGCACCTACGCTGTCCAGCTGCCGGACAGCCCATAAACAGGGGGCAGCTGAGGCGGTGCCACCAGCTGCAGGACCGGGGAAGGGACAGGCTACGTGCTGATGAACTCAGGTGGCCCACTCCCTGGGATATGTCTTTGCACTCCCTGCAGCCTCCCTCCCTGCCATGTCACAGGCTCCCTTGTGCTCCTGACTTTGGGGCTAGGACGCCCGCAGGGCCTGGGGGCAGGTTGCCCGGGCTAGTTCACTTGCTTAATCATTGTAACAGCAGAAAAATAAACACTTCCTGGCAGGTTCTTGCCTGGCGCTGTTTCGAATTGAGTCCTTACAAAGTGGCATCCAAAATCAGTGCTCTTGTTATTCCCACTATCCAAGTGGGAAAACTGAGGCTTAGGGGACACGTCTCGTCTGTGGCAGAGCTGGGATTTGAACCCAGGCAGTTTGGCATGGGTCTTTGCTGCCGGCCGCGCCTCCATGTTTGTGTATTTGTTTATATATGCCACCCCAACGCGCCCACGCCTGCTTGCTCACACCCAGTGTTGAATGGGGGACACGTCTAGGCTCGTGGCCGGGTTTCCCTCACACACACACCCTGGCACACCCAGACCCTGGGTATGTGCACTCTGAACACCACTTTCTGACTCATGTGTGTCCTCAGAAACCCCCTTTCCGTCCCCCTCCACCGCAAGCGGCTTTGGCTTGGAACTTGCAGCCTCTCAAGGTCATGCCCCATCCTGTCTCCCAAGTGGGAATGACAGTGGCTGCCCAAGCGGTGGCAGAGGGAGGAGTGAAAGCAAGGGGATGGGGGACCCACTAGGTGCCTTCCAGGCCGGTGTGCTGATGGTTTGGTGAACTGGCGCCATGGTTATGTGAATGGCCACACCTGGTTTCCCTGTTAGGCCTGAGTGGACTGTAGCTCACCCAGCAGAAAGCACATGTGGCCGCAAGTAAGACCACTCTGGAGGCACGATGGGACTTCAGGGGTCCCTCCAGCCTGAGTCCTCTGCCATCCTGCCCACTAATCAGCCCCCTTGTTGCAGCCCTTTGTTGGGAGGGGCTGATGTCATCCCATGGGGGCAGGAATTGGGGGGTGGAGACTGTTAATCCCCGGTCTGGCAGGCCCAGCCTCTGCCCAGGGTGCCCACTAATTCCCAAACCAAACAGCAGGCAGTGCCGGGCCCTCTGCCGGCCTAATCCGCTCCCCACCAGCCTGGGGTTGGTTAAGGGGCCTCCTGGTTCCCACGCTCTGAGTCTCCAAGGAAGTGGGCAGATGCCCCTCTTCCATTCCAGGTTTGACAGCCCCAGCAAGGACTCCTCTCCCCATAAAGGACTATAAGAAGATACCCCCTAAGCCGGGCTCGGTGGCTCAGCCTGTAATCCTGTGCCTTTGGGAGGCTGAGGTGAGTGGATTGCTTGAGCCCACGGGTTCAAGACCCGCCTGGGCAGCAAGACCTCATCTCTACAATAAATCAAAAAATCAGCCGGGCGTGATAGCGTGTGCCTGTAATTCTGGCTACTTGGAAGGCTGAGGCAGAAGGATCGCCAGAGCCCAACAGGTCGAGGCTGCGGTGGCTGGAAGCGGCCACTGCACTCCAGTCTGGGCGACAGAGTGAGACTCCAACTCAAAAAAAAAAAGAAGATACCCCCTTCCTCCTCGATACCCTCCTTTCAAAGTTGCCACAATAAACACTCATCTCTATTAGGTCTCTATTGTGAATGTGCCCCTCTAGATGTGACACTTTTGTGCAGTTCACAACTTGTGTAACTGTACACTAAGGTGTTTACTCTCACCTCCCAATGTCAACAAACAGTTTAAGATCCTTTTATTGAAGAGCGAGAGGCGAGGAGAGGAGGGGGCAACTACAGCCCCCCAAGCCCCACCAGGGGGAATAGACCCCCTCCCTGCCTCCTGCCCCCCAAGTGACTCCCCCTGTACTATGGGGGGACTTTGTGCAAACTCTGCCCCGGGGAGGAGTGGGGAGGGTGAGAAATGGCAGTAGCTGGGGCTGGCGGTGCTACTGGGTGCTGGGGGGCTTATAGGGCTCTAGGAGGAGGGCTGAGAAGGTGTTGACCTTGTCTGCCCCCCGAACTTCATGGGGTAACAGCGGCAGCTTCACGATGTGGAAGTCTTCATACAGGTCCTCCATCTGCAGCCAGAGCAGAAGGCAGAAGACACTGGTCAGGCGGCGGCAGGGCAGTGACAGAGTGTGGTTCAGTAGAAGGGGGTGGACAATTAGCTGGGCATGGAGGTACATGCCTATAGTTCCAGCCACTTGGAAGGCTGAGATGGAAGGCTTGCCCAAGCCCAGCAGACTGAGGCTGCAGTGGCTGTGAGTGTGCCACTGCACTCTAGCCTGGGCAACAGAGTGAGACTCCTACTCAAAAAAATAAAAAAAGAAGGGGCCAGGTGCAGTGGCTCACATCTGTAATCCCAGCACTTTGGGAGGCAGAGGTGAGAAGATTGCCTAAGCCCAGGGTTCAAGACCAGCCTGGGCAACCTGATGAGACCTCGTCTCTATAATAAATCAAAAAATTAGCCAGGCGTGGTGTTGCACACCTGTAGTTCCAACTACTTGGAAGGCTGAGGCAGAGGGATCACCTGAGCCCAGTAGGTGTAGGCTGTGGTGGCCGTGAACGTGCCATTGCACTCCAGCTTGGGTGACAGAGTGAGACTCTAACTAAAAAAAAAAAAAAAAAAAAAAAGAGGATGGGCTAGGGACCTTCCAGGGTCAGGGAGAGAATATGGGGCAGAGACTTCAAGGTGTCATAAGTGGGAGCTGGGCTAGTAAAGTCAGAGATCACTGGGCTGGACCTCCCACTCTTCAGGGTCACAGGGACCAAGGGCAGGCTAGCCACAGTCCCCCAAGGCCAGAATGAGGGGGAGGCTCTGAAGTGGGAACAAAGGGCAGGAGGTTGGGGTAGAGGGTCAGAAGATGGAGCAAAAGGTCAAAGAACACAGTAAAGGGGCAGAGGTGCCTTGGCAGGTACTGGACGAGTGGGCACACCTGGTCTAGATACTTGGCCTGAATCTTGTGGCGGGCCTCGCACATCTTGCAGGGCTTCTCGGGGTCGGGGAAGACCAGCTGGTTGACAATGATATTGTGTGTGTCGATCTTACACTTGGCCAGTTCCTGGATCAGGCGCTCTGTCTCATACAGGGACAGGAACTCAGCGATGCACACGCAGATGAAGGTTGTCTGCTCCTGCAGGGCACAAGAGAGGACAGTGAGGGGCAGATTCCGGCCCCGTTCTCATCCTCTGAGCCTTTCACCGCCTGCTAGACCACAACTCACAGGGTCCTTGAATTGTTCGCTGACGGAGCGAATGACAGGCAGCGTCTCCTCTAGCTTTGAGGCCAGCTGGTCTGCGTTCATGTCCCCCAGGCCCAGCATGTTGCACATCTGTGGGGAAGATATGGGAGGGCTCGCAGCTCTCTTGGGGGTCACTAAACACCCTGCTAGACACCTCCCAGTGGTTAAAGGCATGGGCCCTTGAGAAGACTCTGGAAGTGTGCCAAATGCCAGATCTGCCAGTTTCTCCAACTGTAAGCTTTACCTCCACGACCTGTTGTGCTAGATGAACTGACACATGTAACATGCTCAGACAGTACCTGGCACACAGTAAGTGCTCAACAAATGTCACTACCCCATGGCGGTGGGTGTGTGTACACAAACACAAACTATAAGGGGTGGGGCTAGTGGTGTGCAGGCCTTTGGGCTTGTGATGGCCATAATAACCAATGGGTGCACTCTCATGGTTTCCATTTGCCAGACAAGGAAGTTGAGGCCCCGAGAGGTGGAGTGACTTGCTTGAGACGACCTAGCAGCTAGGTCATAGAGTAAGCGCAGAGGATTTGAAGGCAGGCCACCTGGTTCCGGAATACCTGCTTTCAAGCCATCTGGGACACTTAGTGGGCAGGACATTGAGTCCTGCCTGTGGGATAGGGAGACAGTTCCTTCCTGTCCCTCCCCAAGTGAAGAGTGCTGACAGAGAAGGGGTGATGGGCAAAGGGCCTTTGTTAGGGCACGTCTGTGGCCCAGAGCCCACTCCCACTCCAGGGACACCTGGATGCCCACGGGCCCCGCCTGCCTGTGAGATGAAAGGGCTGATCTGGTTCTTGATCTGCATGAGGCGGCCCAGGCCCCGCTCAACGATGGTTGGGAAGTTGAGGAGCCTCAGTGTGTGGCCCGTGGGCGCCGTGTCGAACACCACCACCGAGAAGTTCATGCCCTTCACCAGCCTGAGGAGAGACTGAGGTCAGGCTTGCTCCAACCCCCACTTCCCGGGGCAGTGCCCATCCCGCTGGCTGGGCCTGACCTCATGACCTCGGCGTAGCTCATGGCCTCGTCGATGCCTGGGAAGGCGCTCATGGCCTCCTGCATCATCTTCTTGCCCATACTCAGCATGTTGTCTTCCTCGAAGAACTCATCGGGCAGCTCCGCCACGCCCAGGCTGGGGTCAATCTCCTGGGGGCCGAGGGGACGAGACTCAGGTCGCCACTACTGCTGGGGGTCTTCCCACCTGGGCACGGGGCCAGAGGGAGTCTGTGGGGGGCTCCAGTCACAGGCGCTTCATTAGATTACCGCCGGGGGGACCCTGACAACATATCACTGCCCTCCCTCGGGGACTTAGGGTCGTGGATGGTCACACAAATGGTCAAACCATTTCTTTTTTCTTTTTTTTGAGTTGGAATCTCACTCTGTAGCCCAGGATGGAGTGCAGGGACACACTCACGGCCGCCTCAGCCTTCCAAGTAGCTGGAACTACAGGCATGCTACCACGCCTGGCTAATTTTTGATTTATTGTAGAGACAAGGTCTCACCAAGTTGCTCAAGCTAGTCTTGAACCCCTGGACTCAGGCAATCCTCTCGCCTTGGCCTCCCCAAATGCTGGAATGACAGACATGAGTCACTGTGCCTGGCATGGTCAAACCATTTCACAAATGAGGGGACAATTGTAAGCTATGACCAGGGGCCCCAAAGGGAAGCCGCAACCCACTGCCATTCTTCACCTGCAACTCGCCTCCCCAAGATACTCCCATGACTGGCCTAACCTCTTCTAGATCATTTCTCTAGTGTGAACCTTCCCTGACTACCCAAAGTCCTGTGCTCTACCTTTCTCCTTAACATTCACCCTTTGAGTTGGGTGAGGCAGTACATGCCTATAATCCCAGCTACACCGAAGGCTGAGGAGGGAGGATCTCTCAAGCCCAGGAGTTCAAAACTAGCCCAGGAAAGATTAGCAAGATCCCTGTCTCTACAAAAAATATTTTTCTAAAAATTTAGAACATTAGCCAGCTTGGTGGTGTGTGCCTGTAGTTCCAGCTACTGGGGAGACTGAGACATGAGGACGGCTTGAGCAAATATTCCTCGTGCCCCTGTGGTTGGCAACAGTCCAATCTGGGTTATTCCCAGCTCTCTGCATCACTGCACTCAGGAGACTAAACACATCCGACCATGTTCCCACCCTGTTCCCTATTCCTGATCACAAATCTCCAATGGGCATTCGACGAGCCAGATGACCCTGGGTGCCTGTCTACCCTGAGAAGTGTTCATGTGGCATCTTCTCCCGCCCCAAGGTTCTTCTGTCCCATTCATTGCTGAGGCCCTTGCCTGTGCCTCGGTGAGAAAGAGAAGCCCTGGGTTGCCAACATCCTACTCTCCCTCCAGGAAATGCTCCAATTCCTCCCACTTCTCTACCAGGCACTGACCCTGGCACAGTCCCAGTCCTGTGTCTGGATGCTGGATGGAGTTCAGCCTGCTGAAGGATTATCCTCTGCCAGCATCCTTGCTCCCTCTGCAGCATCTCTCTCTCTTTTTTTTTTGAGATAGGGTCTTACTCTGCTGCCTAGGCTAGAGTGCAGTGGTGTGATCACAGTTCACTGCATCTTCAAACTTCTGTGTTCAAGCAATATTCCTGCCTCAGCCTCCTGAGTACCTGGGACTATAAGCGTGTGCCCAACTAATTTTTTATTTTTGTAGAGATGGGGTCTTGCTATGTTGCCCAGGCAAGTCAAATGTTCTTTAGATATAACTCTTGACAAGTATTTACTTCATCTGGTGGGAGAAGGGTGGTGCAGGTACACTAGCCCCTGGCGTTTCAGCACACTGTGGACATCATCCAGCATCTTGGGAAAGGGGTGTAACAGGTTAGTGACAGAAAGGTTATTTAAGAACACAGCCAGGTATGGTGGCTCGTACCTATAATCCCAGCACTTTGGGAGGCTGAGGTGGGAGGATGGCTTGAGCCCTGGAGTTAGAGACCAGCCTGGGAAACATGTGAAACCCTGCCTCTACAAACTTTTTTTTTTTTTTTTTTTGAGTTGG